TGACACAGGAGCAGAAAATCAAACACTGCATGTTCTCACTCATAGGTGGGTGTTGAACAATGAGAACACATGGACACAGGGAGGGGAGCACTACACACTGGGGTCTGCTGGGGTAAATAGGGGAGGTTCAGCAGGGGGTGGGGAGTTGGGGAGAGATAGCATGGGGAGAAATGCCAGATATAGATGAAGGGGAGGAGGGCAGCAAATCACACAGCCATGTGTGTACCTATGCAACAATCTTGCATGTTCTTCACATGTACCCCAAAATCTAAAATGCAATAAAAAAATAAAATAAAAATATAAATAAAATTATAATAAATAAATAATTAAATAAATAATCCAATCTCAAGTATTTCTTTATAGCAAAGTGAAAGAACTAATATGGCCATATATGAAAACCCCACAGTAAATATCACATTCAGTGGTGAAAGATGTAAAGCTTTTCCTCTAAGACGACGAAAAAGGCAAGGATGTCTGCATTTTCAACATACTACTGATAGTTCTAGCCAGAGCAATTAGGCAAGAAAAAGAAACAAAAGGCATCCAAATTGTAAAGCAAGAAGTAAAATTATTTCTGTTCACAGATAACATGTTATCATTATGGTAACCCTAAAGATTGAATTAAAAATTGTTAGAATAAATGAATTCAGCAAATTAGCAGGACGCAAAGTCAAAACACAAAAACCAGGTGAATTTCTACATGTTAACAACGAGCAATCTGATAATAAATTACAATTCAATTCATAATAGCATCCAAAAGAATATTTAGGAATTAACCAAATAAGTCAAAGATCTACACAATGAAAACTACAAAACATTGGTGAAATAAATTAAAGAAGACATAAATAAATGAAAACACATCCCATGTTTATGGATTGGAAGATGTAATACTGTTAAGATGCCATTACTACCCAGGGTGATCTACAGATTCCATTCAATCTCTATCAAAAACCCAATGATTTTTTTTTTTTGCAGAGACAGAAAAACCCATCTTAAAATTCACATGGAATCTCCAGGGATCCTGAATACTAAAAACAATAATGAAAAAGAAGAACAAAGCTGGAGGGCTCACACTTCCTGATTTCAAAATGCACAGAGCTTCAGTAATCAAAGCCATATGGTACTAACATAAAGACAGACATATAAATCAATGGAATAGAGAGCTCAGAAATAAACCCTCACATGTATGGTTAAATGACTTTTGGCAAGGGTGCGCAAGCATCCACTGGGGGAAAGGATGGTCTCTTCAACAAATTATGCTGAGAAAACTGGCTATTCACATGCAAAAGAATGAAATTGGACCTTTACCTAACACACAAAAATTAACTCAAAAATGGATCAATAACCTAAATGCAAGACCTAAAACAAAAAACATTTGAAGAGAATACAAGACAATAGCCTGGACACCATGACAAAACACTGCCTCTACAAAAAAATACAAAAAATTAGCTGGGCATGGTGGCTTACACCTGTAGTCATAGCTACTCGAGAGGCTGCGATGGGAAGATAAGCTGAGTCCTGGAAGTCAAGGCTGCAGTGAGCCTGTGAGGCTTGACTGCACCTTGCCACTCCAGCAAGGAGGACAGAGTGAGACTGTCTAAAAAAAAAAAAAAGAAAGAAAAGAAAATATAAGGCAAAAGCTTCAGACATTTGATTTTACAATGATTTCTTGCATAGGACACCAAGGGAATGGGCAACAAAAGAAAAAATGGACAAATTGTCCTTCACGGACATCAAAGACCCTAACCAAAGTATATAAAGGTAACCTGCAGAATAGGAGAAAATACTAGCAAATTACGTATCTGATGAGTTAAGAGATTTCTTAAAGCACCTCATATGCAAAGTATCTAATGTAACAGTAATTGTTTTCTTTAGTAATCGAAGGAAAAATAGAAAATACTACCTCATTTGAAGAATTTTCCCGCAAACTTAACATAGGAACAATTTCATTTGAATTAACATAATTGCTGACATTTGGGAACAGTTCTTCACAAGATGCTTTTTGCACTGAAGACAAATCAATCTATAAAAGAATACATTATTCTTTTGTAGAAGTTAAATATTGCAAAAGCAATGATTTTTAAGTAATTAAAGAAAAGTTTTAAAATACCATATCATTGGAAACATTTTCCCATAAACTTGACACAGAAACAATTTCATCTGAATAAACATAATTATTGACATTTGGAAATAACTCTTCAAAAGGTGCATGTTTAGAGACAAATCAATCAGTAAAGAGGGTTATAATGTTCTTTCACTTTAAAGTTATTTTTTAATAAGGAATTTTTGTTTGCTGTGAAACATGTTTTTTTCTATTTAGCCATCCAAACATTTATCAAGTGCCTACTAAATGAAATTTATCTATCCAGCAACCATGCTTCCTATATTTCCCCTGCTCTTCTTTTAAATGTAAACTTCCCAGCATTCTTCCCTTATGTTCTTGCCTACCATTTGAACAACAAAGATTTTTAAAATCACTGTCTCTAACACAGAACTCTCTCCTAAGCACCATATCCATTTTTCTGTCAGGTTATTGAAATCACATATTTCTGTACCAAATTCAAAATTTCAAAAAAGATGACCAATTGATTTAGAGATGATTTAAGGTATACAGGATGCACATAGGTTACATGAAAAAAACAATACCATGCCATTTTATATCAGGAACTGTAGCATCCACATATTTTGGTATCTTTGAGAAGTCCTGAAACCAATCCCCCAGGGATACTGAGGGATGACTGTGTATAGTCAAGACAACCAAAAACACAGACTAATACATTGGTCATAAAAAAAGAAATGCAGTACTGATACTTGCTAAAACATGGATAAACAAAATGTGTCATATACATATAATGGAATATCGATTCATCCTTAAAAATAAAATTCTGATGCAAGTTGTAACATAGATGAACCTGAAGATGCCATGCTAGTGACATAAGCTAAATACAAAGGACAAATACTGTATGGTTCTATTTATATGAGGTACCTAGCGTAATCAAATTCATAGAAACAGAGAGTAAAATGGTAATTTCCAGGGGCTTGGGTAGGGAGGAGTAGGAAGTTACTGTTCAATGAATATGAAATTTCAGTTTTGCAAGATGAAAAAACTTCTAGAGAGTAAGAGTGGTGATGGTTACATAACAACATGAATGAATGTACTTCAACTGTACACTTAAAAATGGTTAAAATTATAAATTTTATGTTGTGTATGTTCCACCACAATTTTTTACACTGAAGGGAAAATAAAGAAGAATCCTGGTTGTTGCTGCAGTACTCTAATCTCTCCTTCTCTCTTGCATGTATAGGAGTATACAGAGTACTTCCATTGAAAGTGTGCTTGGCCGGGCGCGGTGGCTCAAGCCTGTAATCCCAGCACTGTGGGAGGCC